GCTCCGGAGGAAAAGGTTTGCAATTTTCCAGAGTAAAGCGGCGGTGGATCACGCTCTCTCGTACATACATACATACATACATACATACATACATACATACATACATACAGACAGACAGACAGACAGACAGACAGACAGACAGACAGACAGACAGACAGACAGACAGACAGACAGGACAGACAGACAGACAGACAGACAGACAGACAGACAGACAGACAGACAGACAGACAGACAGACAGACATACATACATACATACATACATACATTACATACATACATACATACATTACATACATACATACATACATACATACATACATACATACATACATTACATACATTACATACATTACATACATACATACATACATACATACATACATACATACATACATACATGCATACATACATTACATACATTACATACATACATACATACATACATACATACATACATACATACATTACATACATTACATACATTACATACATTACATACATACATACATACATACATACATACATACATACATACATACATACATACATACATACATACATACATACATACATACATACATACATACATACATACATACATACATACATACATGCATGAATGCATGCATGCATGCATGCATGCATGCATACATACATACATACATACACACACATATACGCACACACAAATGCATTGGCGCTTCGCTCCAAGCACCTTGTTCCTTGTGAATTCGAATGCAGGCGGCGTGCGCGCGCGTGGACGTGAGGCCGGCCACCGCCAAGTGGGAGTGGGTCAGGATCTCCTAAACCGGAGCGACTTGACGACGCCAGCTCTGGCCAGCTCAAGGCGTTTCTGTGCCCAGAAGCGCGAGTAAGTCTCAGGCGACTGGTTAGGGTAGCATGAAGCAGGGCATCCTCACCTTCTCCTCCTCCTCCTCCTCCTCTTGCTCTTCCTCTGCATTTTCCTTCCCCTTCCTTCTCCTTTTCATCATCATCCTCTTTCTGCTCTTCCCTCCTTTTCCTCATTCCGCTTCTTCTCCTCTCCCTTTTCATTTCCTAAACTTCTTCCTGCTTTTCTTCCACTTGCTATTTTCGGCATGCTTCCGATTGGCTTTTGAGGCGTCGAGACAGCTCCAACACGTCTCCAACTGAGTCCCCTGACGAACCCCAAAGAGGTCAAGGCTGGCGCAACAAGGCCCGGAGAGTGGGACAAGCAAAGAAACTGCAGTAGAAAAACAATGTTTTCGGCCTTCTCGCTTTTTTATTTCCAGTTGACTCGGGGGGCGCCCAGACGACCCCAAGACGGCCACAGGGAGCCGACGCGCACTGAAGTGCCCGCTGGGATGTGCCCAGCGGTCCGCGCCACCGCGGTCGTGTCAGTTTGCGCGACCAAATGGAGTGGACAACTCACTGCGAACAAAAGTTAGTTCTCCTCCCTAAACGGACAATAGACTCTACCCCCGCCCCGGGATTATCGGTTCCCTTTTTCGTTTTGCAATGTACATATGATTCTGCCCCATCGTCCATCCCAAATTTGAATTCATACCATCCCAGGGGAACCGGCATCGCCCCCGCCGCCATCCACTGGGAAAAAAAATACTACGCGCGCGTACTCGTTGATCAACCATCACAAGTTGCCAAGAATCCCTTGCAACAAATGGGACGAAGAAATGCGCACGCGCGCGTCGTCGCGCGCGCTTGCCGAAATCCTTCCAAAAACTTTCGGTGTCGTAAAAAGGGGTGGAAATCGAAGGTCCAAATATTTTTGTTTAAAACAGCTTCGCAGCTCCGATGTTCAAGAAAGCTTGCATGCGCGTTCATTGCGAGTTCTTCAGAGGAAACCATGAACTTTTTAACATATTCACAACATGCCACCGAAACAGCTATACACCTGAAATCTCGTAAGGACTTCAAAACAACATGTCCAGACAACGAACAACATACATTGCTTTACCACGCCAATGTTTATCAACAAAAAGGCGCGCGATTTGCTGCGAATTCTATAGAACGTCATAGTTCCCTTGACGGGCAAAGTTTCGTCACATTCGACCCAACGGGCCTGTCGCGCCGCATGCCAAAAACATTCGAACGCCCTTGCGCGCGTGCTGGGGGGCACGGTCCGTGTCAAATAATACAATGCGGGCCAAAAGCGCGCGTCGGCCGCGCGCGCATGTTTCATTCTTTCCATAACCCTCATCACCGACACGCGGACATCGTCTTCGCCATCGGATTGATCAGCATCGACGCCGTCACTGGCTTTACCGTCGTCATCACCACCATCGTCACCGTCATCGTTACTGTCATCATCGTGCCAACCGTTGTCTACGTCGCCATGATACCGCGCCCGCCCAAGCCACCGACTCGCACTGAAGCGCCCGCTGGGACGTGCCCAACGGTCAGCGCCACTGCGGCCGCGTCGGTTGCGTTAAACTAGCTGGCCGCTGCGCGCGCAGCATGTGCGGGCTAGCGCGGCCGAAAACATGCACTCGCCAACGCCAA